AGTCCCCTTCTCCGCCATGGCAACCTGAACTGCCTGCTCCGCCATGGCCCCCTGAGCTTCCTGATCCGCCCTAGAGGCTGATGCAAGACAGAGACATGGGAAGGCCTCCAGGGCGGATCAGGGAGCTCAGGGGGCCATGGCGAAGCAGGCAGTTCAGGTTGCCATGGCGGAGCAGGAGACTCAGGAGGGGACTCAGCCCACCACCCTCCACAGTAGTATTGTTACTGCTTCCGGGAGGGGGGAGTAATGTCACGTGTATGTTCCCATTTAGTTCCTGTTTGTCCTTATTTGGTCCTTCCTGTTCCTGTCCCCTTTTAGTTCTATTAGTTCCAGGTGTTTCTCATTATTAGTTATCCTCCTCACCTGTCTGCCCCTCGTCATCTGCCCTATTTGAGTTCTAGCCCATTCTTTTCTCCCTTGTCTGGAATTGTTTATGTCAACCCTTGCTACGTGTGTTTTCCTGTTTCCATGGATATTATTAAAGTCAATAAGTTTGAATTCGACTCTGTGTCTCCTCGTTCCGTGCTCCTCACAGTAGCGAGCCGTGACAATTAGTTTATGGACTGTGAATTAATGTGAACAAAGTTCATGCAGTAACTAACAATTCAGAACTTATAAAGTGACACCCTTTTTTTAAGAAATTTATACTTTTATTCAGTAAGAATGCATTCAGTTGATCAAAAGTGACAGTAAAGATTTTTGCAATGTTACAAAACATTTAAAAAAAAAAAAAAAAAAAAAAAAAAAAAAAAAAAAAAAAACTTATTTAGTTACTAAAGAGCACGTTTGACATCAGCACCTAAAATCATTCATCAGAAGGACTCCAGGTGCAGTTCACAGAACCAGACTCCTCATCCTGGCTCAAGGTGGCGTTAGTACCAGACTCCTCATCCTGGCTCAAGGTGGCGTTAGTACCAGACTCCTCATCCTGGCTCAAGGTGGCGTTAGTACCAGACTCCTCATCCTGGCTCAAGGTGGCGTTAGTACCAGACTCCTCATCCTGGCTCAAGGTGGCGTCGGACGTGGAGGAACGCAAGGGAAAAACAACAAAGCAAAAACTTTCAGAAAACGGAAATCAAAACGGGGAGAGGGGGTGCCGCTTACTTTTTGGTCCGGTATTTTGTCACGATCTGCTACGGTGCGGGAACACGGAGCAAGGAACGAGGAGACCAAGAGTACAGAAACCAAGGAATTTATTCATCTTCACGGGGAATCAGACATAGCGCTGTAGACACAAACAATACCGGACGCTGGAGCACACACAGGGAATACTATTTAAACACACAGGAGGAGGGGATGACGAGACACACCTGGGAGCAATAAAACATCATGGGAAACACCTGGGACAAATTAAACATGGGAAAGGAAGGCACATGAGGAAAACAACCACAAAACACGGAACAGAGTCTGACAATGAGTTTATTATTATTATTATTATTATTACCAAACCAACATAGTAGAATAATTTCTGAAGAATAATGTGACATTGAAGACTGGAGTAATGGCTGCTGAAAATTCAGCTTTGCCGTCAGAGGTATAAATAAAAAGTTAAAATATATTAAAATATAAAACAGCTCTTTTAAACGGCAATAATAATTCACAACATTATTGTATTTACTGTATTATTGATCTCATAAATGCAGCCTTGTTGAGACTTTTAAGAACTTTTGAAGAGTATGGTGTACATTTGGATACATGCTGAAATGTAAAATATGGACTTATTGACATATCAATCGAAAACTGCTTTTTTAAAATAATGACCAAATGATGACACTGAGAACACAATAAAAATAGGCTCAGCATCAGATTGCATCTTGCAGCTACATTTCTGCTATTTCTGCTATGCTCCTGCTTCTCAGAACTGTGCTGCTTACATGAAAAGTGTGAATGCTGCAATCTGTTCATTTGGTCGCTAAAATAAGTACACACTGCTTTAGCGTACAGTTCGAAACAAGTTCTGAGGTCATAACAGCGGTCATTAATCAAGGTGAGTTCTGAGAAGAACCACTTATAATAATGCCAATTATGTGGACTGTAGACATATTGACAGTAGTTCTACTTTCGGTATGTGTGTGATTAGTATAAAGAGCAGCACTCTTGGTTGTTCTTCTCAGGTTCACTGAGTGACAGATGAGTTTAATCTAAGGGGCCGGACCAGCTGCTGAATATTGATAGGGGCAGAGAACTAGTTAACCTTTATGACAGCAACATGATTACAATTTTTTGCGGTGTCTATGTGTGTGTGTGTGTGTGTGTGTGTGTGTGTGTGTGCTTGACTGTTTGACATCTAAACTGAAGATGTCATAGATTAGCCATTTAACCATTGATTTGAGTATTGAGTTCTTAACAGTGCTGACATTTGGATTGAGTGCATTCTGCCGTCCCCAAAAATTGAACATTTATGCTAATATCATATTAACTTATCATTATATGATTTCTTTCTAATTTAGTCTGATAATGACTTTTTTTATAGTTATAGATTTACGGTTTAAAAAAAATGACACTAAACTTTCTCCTCGTTTTAAGTATCTCAGCCATCTCATTTCTTAGCTTCCCCTCTGTGCCACTTTTTTCAGCAAAACAAATCTTTATTGAAAATCAGATTCTCTGAGCAGAGAGCTTGTAACAAAAGCTAAGAGCCTGTTTAATAATGTAGGTGGTGACCTGTGTGTTATTGGAGACAGTATGATTGGATATTACATTCAGCTGAGGAAATGTCAAGATCTGGGCTTTCTCCGAGAGGTGTGTGACCTCGTTTATTAGCAACAGCTGCTCTGAAAACCACAAATGTCACTGGCTGGGGAACCGGAGAGCTGGGACTCGGAGAAGAACGGTTAAGAAGGACTGGCGGATGCAGGACCACCGATCACAGACACACCACACCTGACCTGTGTTAATGAGAGGTCGTGAGGAGAGGAGACCATTGGGCACTGATGTTTTCAGTCTTGAGTCTGAGTGCCAAGTGTATCTGTTTATGTCAGGATTGCAAACCACAGCCAATGCAAGTTACGCCTATACCACTGCAAAGAATGCCTAATACAAAGTCTGGTCATGACAGAATATTTTTTTTAATTCTGTTTACAAATTTTTTTCTTTTTTTGTCATTTTCTGGGAGTAAAGAAATTTAATTATTAAACAATATTTTTAGAAAATATTTATGAAGCCTGTTGAACAATGTTCCTCCAATAGGCATTTTATAGAGTAGATTTAGGTTAAGATTTTGTACCTCTAAATAGTACTATATCATATTTTTTCAGTGACACTTTCTGCAGGTTACATTAATGCTCCAGTAGGTGGCGACAAATGACTGATCATTCATTCAACCGATTTGTTCAAAAACGCTGATTATTTTGGGAATCAATCAAGTGGTTGTCTTTATTGAGTTGTTGAATCACTCTTTTAAATGATTTGTTCAAAATTCTGTCTCTTTCAGAAATCAATCAAGTAGCTGTTTATGCCAAGCTCACACTGCATGATTTTAGCCCCGATTTTCACTCGTCGACAGGTTTTGTGAAATCGCCGACAAATGCCTGAAATCGGAGCAATCTGAGAGAATCGCTGACGTGTCGCCAATGCCTGTGAAATATTTGGCATGCTAAATATCTGAATTCAAACTCCTGCTGTGTGAAAGATTGAGTTCTCACTGAAAAATACATCGACGATGACCTACAGCCAATGAGAGAGCAAGATACAGGGCAGCGGGAAGTTTGGGGAGGAGTTATAGACTCCCCAACCATTTTCTCCTCCATTATCTTTTTTTCTTTTTCACCCTTTTGCTGCAACTCAGCGCACAGACCATTTGTATCGCAAACTTCTTGCGGGATTACCATTTTAGTAACATTTCCAGTCTCTTGCGAGAACTCTGATCTCATGCGTGATCTTGCGCTATTTCCTTATCACTTCTCGCATGCATTTAGTTGTGAAACGTAGTTTGCGGACCAGACAGAGTTGAAGGCGATTCTTACTATTGTAAAGTCATGCAGTGTATAACCTCCTGTCGCTGATCCATCGTGCAATGTGAACACAGCAGTAACTGAATGCTATCCTAGAAAGTCGTGCAGTGAGATCCGACGATTTAAAAAAATCGTGCAGTGTTAACTCGGCATTAGGAGTTAGTTATTCAATCATTTAGTTCAAAAAGGCTAATTCGCTCCACAACCACGTGTCTTTTTAAATGATTCCTTCACTCATTCACCCAATTCACACTGATTCATTCAGAAATGAAATACCGCAACTGTGTTGTTCCTTGAGACTATGGCTTTGTTTGGAGGCATTAGTCATCGGTAGAGCAAATGTAGACAATATATTGTCTAAAAATGTAAGTTATTAAACTTCTTGTGTGCAATATAATACCGTTAATAAACAAGGATTCGATTAAAATGAAATTCTGCTACAAACATATTTTAGTGTCAGTGCCAACAAACAAGTGGCTTCCAGGGACGTTTAGTTGGGTTTGACGGGACAAGTCGATTTTTAATGCTTGCAGTAAACTCATCTCTAGTAGCATATAATAAACAAACAAAAAGAATCAGCAATTAAATTCACCCAGCATTTATTGGAAATAGGCTTGGCTAGCAGACAGTACAAGCTCTTCCTAGAGACTCGGTCATTAAAAAGTTTTACGTCTATAGAGCGTCAAGGTTATAGAGAAAAAATTCAAGATCTTACACAAGCTACAACAAAAGCACCACAGAGCACACTCTGAAAGAGTAAACTACTGTACAAGCGACCGTGACTGCATATAGACACTGTGTACATTTACAGACCACTAAATGAGTCAGATAGGTATTGGCAACCTTACAGCCTCATCTGATGAATGCAATTATAGTATCTAGGAATGTAAATAAATTAAGCAGCATACTAGAATTAATTTATTGTATATTAGATTAACTGTATATAATGACTTTTTTTTATTTGCATAGACCTGAATGATTTCACATTACATAAAAAAAACATAAAAAGAAAATGTGAGTTTTATTAGCAGTTTTAATAAGTCCATGTTTGACATTTTCCATGTATTTTAATAAAATCACATGCATGTAAATATTGCTTATTTGATTTTATATATTGGTGCATATAAATAAAAAATGATTAAATATATTCCTTGCGTTCATTTAATGAAAAGCATACCTTTATTAGTTTTTTATTAGATTGGCTACATTGTCTCTTGTCAAAATAATGGTTCCTCTTATTTGAAAAAGATTTTTGAGATGATTAACTGTATTGACCATATGTATACTTATTCAGTATGAATGCAATAAAAAGAAAAAGTACAAAAGGTTACAAAGTTAAAATAGCATATAGACAACAATAAACATCTACAGTATGTTACTGGAAAGCAGTGGTCTTATGTGTTGCATTTCACAAGCATGTAGGGTACATAAAAACCTGTAGTCTCTTATTCTGTAGCATAGGATATTTCCTAAAAGAACACACTTATGTTTGTATTTTTTCTCATAATTCAGTATTTAACTTAGGTAAAAGAACCTGCAAATGTCACATATTAAAAACTCTCACCAGCTTTTTATAATAGTGGCACCCTTTCATTTTTTTACAAAGTTCTAAATATTAGTGAGAGGTGGCTTACATTTTACTAAAAAAAAAAAAAGACAGGGAGGGGTCATCATTACATATTGTCATCATTGTTGGCCCAACCTGAATGCTTTTCCATGCATTGTGAATAACTCCACGTTAATGCTGACCATTACTGATTAAAGCAGACATTAGACTTTTTCTAGACTCACGTTATTGCTATCTTAACTAATCTGAAGATAAAGAACATTTGTGCCATATCCTGCATTCAACATCTGTCTCCCGTCATCCCATCTGTTCTTAATTTTCAGTATAACATCCAAGATTATATCAACGCAGTGTTCACAGACACCTAGCTGGTGATGTTTTGCTGTTTACAGGAACATAACAATTGAATATTCACCAGATTTTCATTGGTAATACAAAGGCAGCTCACAGGTATCTACAGGGAGTTGAAATGCTGATTAACTTCTTGCTGTGTAATGGCATCAGAAATCCTTCAGCAGTGTTTTGCATATACGCAAGGGGTCATACAGAGGATTCAGGCAGCGAGAAGTAATTTAGACTAGGATTTTGGTTTAGGAGTGCAGGAAGAGACTGATTTTACTCATTCGTGCATGCAAGAAGTCAAATAAATAAGGCCAGTCTTCATGCACCATGTGTCTCTGTGACATTGCACTGAAATATGTTGGTATTGTGCCACTAGACACAGCCTGGCCTGAGTATAAAGCTTTGTGGGATTTCAGAGATGCGGGTGCAGGATGTACAATGCAAATCCCTTTCAGTGAACTTAAATGAGGACGTACTGGTCTTTGACCTGGGGCAAGTTCAAGCTCAAACTGGTGTGCACCGTTTTGCTACGGTTTCCGGTTTGAATGACATGTTTCCTGAAAACGGTGTGCAACGGTGTGCAACGGGGTTTGAGATGCGTTTTCTCTTGTTTGGTGGGTGTGTCAAACATGTCAGCCCAATCAGCAGCAACATGTATGTAACCCACGCGGTATTAAAGAGACAGCTCGCCCAATGTAATTAACGTCAAAATAAATTCACAAGAGCAAGTCTGCAGGTTTGGTCCTCCATAATAGGTGGCCAAGATGCAGATGCTTTTCATATATATTAAAAGTAATCTAGGGGGGAAATCAGATTGTCATATTACCTAATTTGCTTGGCCTCTCTCCATCAGAATTGAGTATTCAAGCATGCTGTGGTATAAATATGCACCTAATACTTTTGATGCTAAGGGCCACGAATCATATTAGAGTGACTGCTCACCAACATTGGGATTTGCCTTGATGTCTATCTGAGACCAATGAAAGATACAGCGCTTGAACACTCACACAACAACAATAAGAAAAAAAGTGGTGTTGCAGCTTTGACCACAAGGCCTGACTTCAAAGTGCAGATGAAAGCTTTTCAGATGTGGACGGATTCCCAGAGAGGGTTTGCTCAGTACTCAAAATGCTCTGCATCTCCACTTCGTGAGACCCAAAAGAGCCAGAGTGGGCGTTCTGACAGGCCAAGCTCTGGTACTGGACTTAGAGGCTTCAGACAAGCCTGGATATAGGGTAATTCTCAAATGTTTTTGGTACAAAGCAGTGCCTAAAGCAGAAGACTATGACAAGCTTTGTAAGAAAAAGGAAAATCTGGGAGAATGCAAGACATACAGTATTAGATTTTTTCCCCTCATATTTTATTGAATTTTAGGACACTACTGGTGATGAAGATTATGGTTAACGCCAGTGGGGAGACTGCGGCTAGTTGTCTATTT